CTCTTCAAACAAACTAATAATTGCTTCCAGAGATAAAATATTTGTAAGCTACTACTACAGTGCTCTTTCACTACAGGGAAGAAAACGCACTTTTCTCTTTGGAGCAGGCAAATGGCAACAGAGAAAGTTGTGCTCCATAATTAGGCTTCAAGAACCGTCAGGTACCTGTATCTCTGACAGCTCAACATTAAAACCGTATAGGCAGAGCATTCATCCATGCTGCTGTTTCCCAAGCCACCCAAAAGAGGTTGTGAATTTGTTAAATTAGTTTATGAAAAACACCGTGTTTCTGCCTCCGAAAGCAAATAGCCCAGGGAGATGTAAAATGTCTTGAACAGCGAACACAAGCCTGCAAGTGATTTAATGGCCTGAATATTGCATATTCTTCAAAAGCAGCGGAAGAGGGAAATGGATGTGTCAGTTAGCTCATGTCTTCACACAGAGATGTGGTTTTTCTTCAAGTGGCTGCTTCACTTCAAAGTATCTGATCCTACAACTGCTAAAACTGACAGTCAGTGAAGCTGCTTCTTCATGCCAGGGCAGGTTGGTTTGGGGACTGTCTGAAAATAGCAGAGGTAGCACATTGCTTTCCAGAGATTGCTTTAGGGTTATCCAGTACAACGTATCACTGGCTCTTGTTTACAGAAACATCCCTCATTCTAACAACAGCAGCATTTCCGATCACAGTTTTAGCTCAGCTTCTCCCATTCTTGACATAATTTGAAACAATTTTGTACTAAAAATAACCTGGCAGGAAAAAATAATCAAAACAAAGAACTCGTCATAAATCTGCATTGTTTCCCTCTCAAGGGATAATAACACTGTGATATGGCAATAGGCCACAGCTGTAAATAGCCCCATATCTACACTGCACACCTGCTGCATCAGAACAGCGCATTTCTGTTCATAGTGGCACAATCCGAAATTAACTTGCCCTAGCAAGCTCAGTTAAAATCGGGATGTTTAAAAAATGGAGATCCTCACTAGCACCGAGGAGGACACATGAATTACATAACCTGCTTCTGAGCTTTTAACATCTTCAGTGAGAACCTGGTATATGTAAATCCCAGGACTGCTCACATGTTTTGCAGTAAACATTTGTCTGGATTAAACTTCTCTGGACTTAATTTTTGGCCAAGGGGATACTTAGAATTTAGAAATTAGGCAAGCTTTGGAAGGGCAGATTCTCTCCAGCCATGTAACATAAACTAGTGTTGTGTTCCCCCATATACAGCTGAAGGCAATGCCTCCCTGTTGTTAGAACCCTACTGCCCGGATCTCTTGCCCAGGAAGAAGACAGTTGCAGGTTTTTCCTGAACTGCTTTGAATTCGCACCTCACTGTAATTAACTAGATCATCTCAGCAGAGATTCATCCTCCAACCCTGCTAAGGTAAGGCCCCTATGGGCCCATAAACACACAGTGAATGCAATCAAAACACTTTCTGTGACTGGAGGGGTGTGTGTCTTTATTTGAGACTGGGGAGCTTTAGGGAACTGCCTGCTGGCTTTTTACGTGTATCTGTAAAGCCACCATTTGGTTACGAACAGAGACCTTCAGGTAGCTCCTACCGTCGTCGTGAGCATCCTGCTTGTGGTTACCATCCCAACATTGATCTGGAAACCTCACATAAAGAATTTGGGCATTGTGAATTCAGCTCCTGCAGCATCAGTTTTTCAGCAAAATCTGCCTTTGCAGATCTGTCTTAGGAACATTCCACAGATGGTAGAGCCCTTGTAGTATGGTTATCCTGGTTCTGTACCTCTCTTTATTATTCAGAAGGAGCCTCTGTACATAGGAAAGAAGTTTTAAAATGATTGTCTGCGAGGACTTCCAACAATCAGAACTCATGATCCATGGGGATTATTTGTAGTTTATTGTGAACTGTGTCTCATTTGTCCTCCTGAAGAGGAAGGTCAATGACTCACTGTTTGAGGTATAACATAATGATTTTTGCCAGATCAACTTCCAACAAAGGAGAGCATTTAGTGTAAACGAATCAGTTACTGTACAGCAGGTCTTTGACTAGCTCGTAGTGAGGCAGAGGACAGAGTTTAATACGCTAAACACAAGCTGGAACAGTTCAGTCACTTGGGACTTCAAAACATTAGTGCAAGTGTACTTTCTGTAATTCAAGCTGATTATTTTATGTCCTTTTGCAATATACAGAAAAAAAAATCCAGTTCTTCTTTTCAGAAGTATTTTTGCATATATAAAGGCTGTTACAAACTTCACCATCCATTCTCTTTTCTCGAATTGTCTAGAAGTTTCTAGAAATGGATTCATTGTCTACACCTTTTCTGAAGTGTTTTTACCAAACCAAGCACACTTATTCCATTTGCAGCCTTAGCAATGTTATCTAGAGTGGAAAGATCATTTCAACATCTTACATGCCATAGGCTAGTTAAACAAATCAATTCTTTACAAGTCTGCCTTGTCTGTTGTTATTTAGATGTTTCCTGCATTTTACAAACACTGTTTTGATATATTTTATATATTAATATAAATGCAGTCAGACTGATTGGTCACAGTTCCTGTGTACCGACCTTCCTTCTTTTTTACCATACTCACCATGCTTGCTCTTCTCCAGTGCCCTTGAACCTCATCTTTCCTCACCACCTTCTCAAGGATGATCACTCACACCTCATTCTGCTTACAACAGCTACTTCAGCATTTTAAATAAACTTCCTTTTTCTTAAGTGACTAATGAAGGAAAAAAGGCATTAAACCTATCAGCCATTATTATTCCTCCCTTCCCATCACATAACTCTTCCGTATGTCATGACTTTGGAAAATGTCCTCATGTTATTCTTCATTCAATTTCCTTGCTGCATCTTATTCTGATCTTCATTTCACACACACACACACACACACATGTTTACACTGGTCATAGAAATTCAACCAGTATCTACGTTATGTCAAAATCCATTTGATACAGGACTTAAATGCAGTAACTTAGCTTTTGTCTGTTGCGTAATAGTAAGCAAATACCACTTAAGCAAAATATCACAGACTTTTTACAATCATGTCACTTCTATATTCAAGGGGGCAACTATGCCTGTTTCCCTTGAGCTCCTGATGAAACTCCTCCTTACAGCCAGGAAGATGAAGGTGTTATCCTGAGCCTCAGTAAAATTGTGTGAGCATTTCTCTCTCACACAGTGAAACCACCAACTATTTTCAATGTGTGCAAAGTCAGCAGGGAGATGGCAGCTAAGTGCAGTAAAAGGAGAAGGAATATTGCATCTACTGTTGTGCTTAGTTGTTGAAAGAAAATAAAAGACTCAAGGTTAAACGCCAATGGTGAAAATAGTACTTTGCTCAAAGATTATTAATAAACATGCAAATGAGGAACATTTTGACCATTTAAAACCATATTTTCAGTCTTTTTGAATACCTGAAACTTAACAGTATGATTAAACAGCTGCTGTGGCTAGGGTCGAATAAACCCAAACCCAAGTATTTTCTGAATGTTTGTTTCCCACACTAACCAGGAAGCAATATTTGACAGTTCTGAATTCTGAAGTGTTTCTTAGTACTGTTTTTCCCTGGGTTTAGATTTTTTCTTTTTTTTTAATTTCTACTGGTTAAAATGTTTTTATTTAAACAGAATTGAGAGATTTAACAGTAATTTTTGTAACATTTCTCTAATCATTAATCAAAACACAACGTTAGCCTGTTCTAATGTATTTTTATTAGTGAGCAAAAACATGAAAAGCCCAGATGCCTGGCTGCCTCTGTGAGCTGAGGGCAAAGTTTGAGCCACCTGGTATTCACTCATCACCAACTTTAATACTGTACACTTCCCATCTTTAAAATCCCTTCAATCATTAACTGATCTCTCACAGTTCAGCTATGCAGGTAGATTTATTTCTTCCTGTCTTGCAGACAAAGTGATACAGTGAGCTGAAAAGCCGCAGAGGGAGTCGTTGTCAGTGTCCCCATTCAGAACACGATTTAATTAATCTTTACCTGATGGTAAAAATGGCTGCGTCTTCCTTTTCACTCAGTGTGTCATCCACCTTGCTCACATTTTCTCATCTTTATTACACACTTTTCTCCCCTTACTTTTCACAAAAGAAATGCTGGGATTTTTTTTTCCATCTTCTTGGTCTCTTCTTTCCCCATGAAAGCTCTGACCCAGGGGAAAGGATCCTGTGTCTTGCTTTTGGATAATCTCTTCATTTCTTGGCAGACAGTCAGGTGAAAAGCAAAGCAGAGAGCTTTGGCACAAACCAGAGGCTCAGTGCTTGGCTGTTTGGGAATTTTTTAATTGTTTCTAGGGGACTTTTTTTCCCCCATCTCTTCTTGGGAATGTTTCACTTAAGCTGCCCTTTAGTCCAGGGAGAGAATAAGAACCCATTATATTAAAGGCTGAAGTTTGATGTTACAGCTATTCACAGGAAAGTGGAACTTTCCTTTTATTGTTCACAACAAACATTTTCCTTTATGAGAAGCATAATAGAAAGGCAGGTCTGAAGCTAGGGAAAAAGATGTTTTGCCCAACTTTAATCAGATATGAATTGCTTGTGAAGTTTTACGAGAAGCATATTGTTTGAGCTTATGAACACCGCCTGATACTTCCTTTTCTTCTTGGATGCATCATTACAAAATAAATATGGGAAAAGATAAAGTGTAACTATTCTAATGTTTCACCAAAAAAAAAGTCCTGTTAAAAAATAACTGGTGATAAGCTGCTGGATCCCTGCACATGGTCTGACTGCTCTGTGTGAGCTGCTCCTGAGTCTGTAGCACCTCTGCGTGGGCTGAGCCAAGAAAAGTGATTCCTCTTCTTTGATTGCAGGATTCACTGCTAGCCAGCCATCATTTCCCACCTGGCATGAAACATCTTAGAGGTGTCCATGCTAACTCTTTAACTGCCAGATGTCCATCATTTGATGGAAATAAATCCCTGTGCTTTTTGGAACAAACATGACCTGGAACATTCCAATTTTAACACTTTCCAAGCCTTGAGTGCTATTAATAACAGACAAAACTTACCACGTGAGTCCCCATCCACTACCAACATGCAGCCTATCCTTGAATTCACCACAGAGAAGAATGGCTGTTTTCTCATCCCGACACAATCAGCTTTGGCTGACACTGCAGACCTCCTGAGATGGAGAAATGATGCAGAAGGAGCAGGAAAACCTTGGGCTCCCCATGCCCCTACTCCATTCTCTGGCTCCTTCTTCACCCATGCTGTGGGGCAGCTAATGAGAGTATCTGAGCTTTGTTTTCTGTCTACAGCTACTCACTATGGATCAGCATCACAAAGCCAATGTCTCCTGTAGGACACAGTCCAGTCTTAGAGTAGAGGGTGAGATGCTCTCAATGTGGCTCTTTCTGTATCATGGCTAGCTGATGGCATAAGCAGTTGTATCTGTGGGGGAAAAGGACTGTTCAGTCATGCTAGAATTAGTCTTACATGTACAGGTACTTTAGCACACACACACTGCAGGTGCTGTATGGAACTGTTCCTCCTTTCTGGCAGAATCCATATACCTGCATGATACGCATACAGGGTTTGCAACAGCTGGAGTTCACAGGATTGTTGAGCTTCAGCTGACAAATGCTGAGTCCCTTGGCAGCAGCTCTAATCTAAATAGCCTTTAGATTCCTAATTCAGTGATCATCAATCACGATCTCTATAAAATAGGTATTTTCTAAGTTATACACAGTAGGTGTGCTCTCTTTTTCTACATTCCCCTGTCTGTATAATATGTCCATGAAGCACAAGGTACAGTCTTTTCAGCAAATCTTGCGGTTTGCCTTCATGCAAGCTTACTCTGAAATAATTACATCAGTGTTCTTATAAATTGCTTATTACTTCAGGGAAAGTCCATGAATGAGCATGTTTCTTTCAGAGTAAACTGAATTGTCAGCCAACAAAAGAAATAGCCTGTATGGGAAGGTTGCTAGAGGGAAAGAATAAAGCTGATCTAATTTAGGCAGATTCGGAAAGGTAAAGTCTGGAGGCGTGAAAAGCTAAAGCCTACTACATTCCTGGAAAACCTCTACTGGAGCAAAGTTCATGGGGAATTACATGACTAATGAATGATGTGCTGGAAAGGGCAGAACTAAAAGGATGAATCGACTCTGTGTGTCCTTAAGGAAAAAAAAAAAACTAGTCAGTGTTCAGATTAAACCAGTTTTGAACTATGCTCACTGCAGTCCCCCGCATTGCTTCAGGAGATGTTGTCAGGTTGAATTCTGATTCATTTCAGCAACACAGTTGAAATCATGAGTTTATTGCATCAGGGCAGAAAGGGAGAAAATAATTTCAATAAATAGATTGTATCAAACCTTGGCCTTGTTTTTCCTCACCAAATGCCAAAGTGAAATTTCACAAGACTCATTTTTCAATTGAAATTGCACGGCTTGTTCTCCAGCCATATATTGGACATTTCTGTCATAAGGGATAAAAAACACTAGTAAAATTCTTGGTTTAGGTATTAGACGATATAAAAAACCCCATCTGTTATTCATACAATCTACATACGCCAGTGGTGCAGAAGGATTTGGGCTGTGCTAACAGCTAATGGTAATGTTTGCATCATGCATGATTTTAGTGTAAATGCTTGTGTGTACAAATGCACTTATAGAAATTCAATTTTACAAGTTCATATAAATATATATATTGCTATAATTCAGTCAAGCAAAACTGGAAGAAAGTGACTCTCAAAATACCATGAAATTTTTTTTGTTTTTTAGAATCAAAATGATTTTCCTATTCAGAATGATTTAATAAACTCATACCACAGATTAAATTGCTTGAAGAGCATTACTTGTGAAATGAAGCCTTTTAACCATCATATAATTAATGCTGACATGCACAACCCTTAATTAACCACAAGGTTTTTCAGAACCTGATGTTTTCAGTGGGAAATTTCTATTAAAATTTCTCTAATATACAAAAGTCCACGTCTGAAGGAAATGCATGAATAATTTGCCTTCCAGCATGGCTCTCTCTAGAGATATGTATCTCTCTGTGCATTCTTTCTTTTGGGTAAATACTGGGGAAACTCCTCAAGCAAAACTGGATGCAGAGTTAGCCTTATGCCGAAATGTGTTATCACAGCCCCTTTTGCAAAGACACTTGGACGCTTTTGCACATTCATCAGACTGAGCAGGAGGGTTGGTCCACACAGCCCAGTCTTGTCATTGTCCAAGGTGCTGTAGCATTAATTCAGTCAAACGTCAGATCTCACAAGGACTCCCCCGACGAAGGAAGCATTTGGCAAAAAATCCCCCATATTTTTCCTTGGTTTCTCGGTTATGGCATTCATTCAGAAGGGATTTTAGATGGAGAAGCTGCCTGGAATAAGAACGTTGAAAAATCAAAACGGTTGTATTTATTATACCAAGGTTCACCCTAGCTCTCGAGTATGAAGGAAAGGGAGTCACAGGAAGCATTCATCTTTCCATGTTCCCCTCAGGCCTGCCGCTATGATGAACCAAGCAGTAGAGCATCCCACAGTTGATTTCTCCCCTTGAGCTCTGCACGCTGCCTGTCTCACAGCCTCTATCCAAGTATGTGAAACCAAGTGCCAAGCACTTTGGCTGGGTCAACATTGTTATCTACCCACATTCTGTCCAGGCAAGATATACCCAGAGATAAGGAGACGCCATCTTTTCCAGGTGCCACCTAACCCCGTAGTGCTTCTGCTGAAGCATTGGCCAAAGGCACCACATACATTCCTTGGCCCCTAGTTTTAATGGTTGGACACAATGATTTCAAAGATCTTTTCCAAACAAACAATTCAACAATTCTGTACTTACAATACACTTGTGTGTGGCACTGCACATTATCACCCCCCTCCCTGCTTCAAGGCTGGCATGGAAAACCTGATGCATCCCATCATGCAAAACTGTCAAGTTTGCACACTATAACCAGCTGATTTGTGTGGGGCAGTGGGTCAGGGCCAAAAGGAATCTGATATTGCCAATGGTTGTACAGAGGTGCTGCAGACTAACTGGGGGAGACTGAGTGAATGTCACCAGGAAAATGGAGGGCTTGCTGTCCATGTACATCTAAAATGAAAGCTGAATGGGGCTGGCTGCAAACAAATATGTAGGAGGGTGCTTGGAAAGATGTCCTGTGCTTCCCACACTGACTAACACTTGCTTCTTGTAATCTTGGTGTTCTCCATTGCATTCTGGCAGAGAGACAAAGACAAGACAGGAGGCTCAAGCTGATTGACAGCAAATATCACTGCAGCCTGTGGTGACCCAGTTTGCAATGCTCTCTGCTTTTCTGTGAATGCAGGAAGGTCTCCACAGGGATGAAGGGAAGCTGATGGTCCTACCAAGTGTTTGTCATCTCCTGCCCCTGACATGCATCAGTTCTGTGACAAGGAGGTCAAGTTAAAATTGAAAACAAGTCTGTATTCACAATTCAGACCAAGCTGATGCAGAGCAGATTAAGACTGACCCAGCTCAGACTGATGCACAGGCTTCCCAGGAAAGGGGTTGAGTCCCCATCCCTGGAGGTATTTAAAAGACCTGTAGATGTGGCACATGATTTAGTGGTGGACTTGGCAGTGCTGAGTTAACAGTTGAACTCGATAAACTTAAATGTCTCTTCCAACCTAAACAATTCTTTGATTCTATGATCTGCTGTCTGACTTGCTCCAGTGTTTTTCTGATAATAGTTCTTTACCACCTCCACCTTCTCCTTAGCCATACAGGCCCTTCCAGAAGGGGATTATGGGCTGTTCTCATCTTCCATCACCTGCAGCTTCATGTTCCTTTGGGTGTCTCCCACTGGCAGCATGCTGAGAACAGCACTGTCACAGTGTGCCTGTTCTTAGACAGTACATGTCTGACTTGTGACTGGTCTTCAGTGTAACACCAAATAACACAATAAAACCTTAGAGGAAATGTGGTGCAAAAGAGATATGTCACAAATCATAGGCAGGCAGGTAAGGCACTCAAGTGACAGCTGCTTAACCAAGATGCTGCAGAGGCAAGTTTCAGCCCAGGCTTGATAAGGGACCATAAACCCACAAACTAAACCCAAACAAATAAAAAGTTTTAAGTGAGTAAACATTACATGTTGGTCTTGAAATGCAAAGTAAGCACACATAATGATGGTGCATTTCAATGTGATGGGCAGAGATAAGGCCCTTTTTGGGGGTATGCGGCATGCCACATTTCACATGTGGTTGCTTTTTTAGAGGGAATTTATGTTCATTATTTAGGTACTACGTAGCATCTGGTCATTCCTATCAGGGATCTCATATTTGCACTGAACAAATACAGAACTGAAATATTTCATTTGTGTTTTACATACAGCCCTGTCCATGGAATTGCAGATACGTCAGTGTCAGGGAAAAGGGGTCTGATGTCTGCTCTGTGCCACAGGGACAGCTTTTGTGTCAGGAGTGTCATGCTCACATTTCACCTTTTCTGCATATTCTAATGAGCAAGCAACACTCTTCCTTCCCCCTTGCACCGCACTGGGCAAAACATTCCTGTGTTGTGTGCAGGAGCCAGGCTATACCGGCCACACCGCACACGGGGCGTTCTTCACGTAACCTCTCAACTGCTTGGACCAAATTGGAAAAACCTGCGCATTAGGGAGTAACAATTCCTTGTCCTCCATCGTTTAGTCAGTAGGTGGCTCTGCAAGCCTTGGAGTTGCGTGGTGGAGATGAGGGAGCCTGGCTGTGCGCCCTTCCGCAGTTCCTGCTTCCTGCCTCAAAACCTGCAAACCACCACGGGTTTTGTCTAACCCTTGTTCTTTCTGACATCTTTCCCACCCTGACCTTGTTCTTTTCTGACAGATGTCCATTCATCCCATACTGTTCTCCCTGGAGGTCCAGCCCATGATAAGCACAGTCATTGACTCACATCCCATCGCAGCTGCGCTATGATGTATTTGGATGAACGCCGATAATATTAGCTGGGTGAGCACATCAGTGTGACAGTTCCTGCAGCTGCAGTGGGCCTGTGCAGGCAGCACTGCAGCACTGTCCTCCTGCCTGCAGCATTGAGATACTTCACATGTATTTACTATGCTGCATCATGTCTCTGCCAGCATTGGAGATAGAATCATAGAACCGCACAGTGGTTTTGATTGGAAAGGACCTTAAGACCATCTAGTTCCACACCCCTGCCGTGAGTAGAGGTG